AGAGCAGCGGGCCCCGCATGGCAGCGGGAGGCTGCGAGCCCGCGGGGCGATGGCTCTGCCTCTGCCGCTGGGAGCTCCGGCCGTGCCGCACCGCCCCCGGGCTGGGCGGGGGGACAAAGCCCGTTCCCTTCTGCTCCACCGCCCCTCGGCTCCATGGCAGGGCAAGGACTTCATACAATTAACCAGGGTTATTAATAAAGCACTGCGCGTGAGACAACACAAACCTGCTTGGGAGCACCATCCTGGCATGATGGGGAGCCCCGTCCCCCACCCACAGGGCAGGAGCCACTCACCGCCCACTCAGCACAGCCCGGACGCAAACGCAGCTGCTAAAGCCAGACTGATTTTATTCAAATTGCAAATGTAAAACAGAATAATAATTAAAAAAAAAACTAATGCAACCCTCACTGGCTTCAGAGCCAAAAGCCGCAGGTAAACCGTGCCCAGGCTTTCCTCCTTCACCCTCCTGTGTTAAGGCTGAGCTCATCGCTGGCTACAAGAGGGAGGGATGGGTTGAGCCCTGGCTCCTGCACCCCCAGCTCCCTCAGGGAGAAATTTGGCACAAATCCTGTGTGGCCAGCCTGGCACGGGCAGGGCAGGGCTCCAGCCCCACGGCCACGGGTGTTAGTGAGTCAGCGTGAAGCTCCAAAAGCTACGGGATCACCTATGGCACCACAGACAGGCGGCGGGAGGGCAGATGTGGGGAATGTGGCAGAAGAAAGGGGTTTGCACCCCTGGCCGAGAGGCCAAGCCTGCGGCGTGGGGCTGCACCTCGCCCTGGCTCGCACACACATCTCGGCTGTAAACGGCGGGTGAGGGGGCACCCGGCTCACCCCAACCCCAGCCCACAGTGAGCAGAACTAAAGGCCTGGCTGTATGTGCAATTCTGGGCAACTGCTGCGCAGCAGCCCGGGGCTGAGCAGGATCGCTGGGATGGGATGGGATGTTGCACACCAGGGGTCTTGGTGCTGGCAGGGAGGGAGGAGGGAGCTTGGGGTCACACCAGGAGGTCACTGCCCTCCCATCCCAGGGGGTGCAGGGCTGTTGGGCCCCCTCCAAGAGCTGCTGTGACCCTGCCAGTGGCATCAGCCCCATTGTCAGCTTGTGATGTACAGCTTGGCATTGCATCCACATGGCTCTAGGAGGCTCTCAGCACCCCCAAAGGAGCTGCTCCCCTGGCAGTCAGGAGCTCCTGGCTGCTGGAAGCCCCAAGACCACTATCTAAGGGACATCTCAGCCTGGCTAACCAGCAGACACAGCTGATGTGGGGCTGGCAGAAAGCATCACCAGGAGATTGGGGTGGGCATGACTGGGATGTTGGGGGATGGGACGGTGGGATGCAGCTCCCTCCCTGCTCCTTTCAGCACACAATTAGTAATTTAACCTGCTCCAGGGCCTGCTCCTAAAGATAAAGGTGGCCAGGTTTGGGGTGTGCAGGGCAGACCTGGCCCCAGCAGCGCCGCAGGTGGGTGTGGGTTTGGTCTCTGCTCTCCAGCTGAAGCCCTGCGGGGCACAGGAGGCGGGGGCTGCCTGGCCCGGCCCCTCAGTCCGTTTTCCACACCTTGTTGAGGAATTTGACCACCTCATCGTAGATGATGAAGACGATAGCCACATCAAGACACACACGGCCCAAGCGAGGCACTGTACCCTTGTAAAACCTGCCAGGGATAGAGAAGGGGGCCATGGGGCTGGGTGCCCTCACAGCCCCTGCCCGTCCCATCCTCCCCACCAGCCACCCCCACAGCAGAGCTTACGCCAGGGGCCCTTCATGTTTCATGATCTGGTAGGCGCAGTCCCAGGTGTTCTTGTACTTGTGCGCTTCCAGCCCCTGTGGGAAGAGAAAAGCAGGATCAGAGGCCAGAGCCAGGGTTGCACCTGGGGGATTTCAGCGGGGAGGCAGAAAGCTGGGGGTGTGCCATGAGGAACTGATCTCTTTCCACTGCTGCAGGACATCAGATCCCACAGGGATGTCCCCACCTCCGTGCAAATATTCCCCATGGCTCAGGAGCAATCACAGACATCTCCCAAAACAAACCTTGCAGACATCGTGTGCCTGCCCCAGGGGCTGCATGAAACAGCTCCCAGGCAGTGGGTGTCCCCAGCCTGCTGCAGACACAGCAGTCCCACACCAGGCCCTGGCACCATACCTGCATTCTGGTCTTCACCACATCCAAGGGGGTGTTGCCGAAGACACTCGCAGCTCCAGCAAGGGCTCCAAACACCCCTGTTACAAAGGGGTTCATGGCCTTGTTGGGATTGTCCCCTGGGAAGGAAGAGAGGTTGAGGGCAGAGTGCTGGGATTCCCGTCTACATTCCGGAAGGAGCCTGCAAGGAAGGTCCCAGGTCTGGCTGCTTGTGGTCAGGGTGCAGTGCTGAGCTGGGGACTGTCCAGCAGCACCTGCCCCACAGAGCCCATGCTACACCGTGGGGCTTAGGGTGGGTGTGAAAGTGATGCTCCAGCACTAGGACCTGTCAGCCCCACAAGCTGGTACCACATCATCATTTCCTCTGTTCCAAGTGACTTAGCCATGAGAAATAGGGTATGTGTGGATGGAATAACCATCCCAGCTCCCAGGGGTGGTTGGAGAGCCGGTGGCACAGGCAGGGTGGCCTGGGGAGCCCAGGGTACCATACCTTTGTACCAGTTCTTGAGGGAGGTCATGACGAAGAAGCGGATGGCCTGGTTTGATCCTTGCTTGAGGATGGTCGCTGTTAAACCTTGGTAAGTCCCCTTCAGTCCTGCAAAAGAGGGTGTTGGAGGGGAGACCAGCCTCAAGTGGCAGAGAAAAATCTCCCCAGGCCACCTGCCCCAGCCTGTGCCCATCCACCACCTCCCATCCTGTCCCCAGAGCATGGGGACTCAGGGAGCCACTTTCTTGGGACTCACCCTGTTCCCGAACAATCTCCCGGACGCCATGGAAGAAACCACGGTATTTGGGGTTGGGAGAGGTCTGGTCATGGATAAACTTCACCTACAAGGAGACGATGCACTTGTCCTGGCTGAGGCAACACAGACGTGATGGCCCCAAGGGCTGTCAGCCACCTCCTGCCTTGTTCCAGGGGTGGTCCCAAGACCAGAGCTGACCCATGCAGCCAGGCAGCTCTGGGAGAGATCATGGAGGAAGCCTGTGCCTGTGGCCAGCAGTGCATTTTGCAGAGGAAAACCAAGGAAACTGCCACTGCAAGCAGCCATGTGGGGCTTACACCCATAAAACGATGGCTCCTGGCTGTGGGGCTCCTCCCTAGAGTGGGGAAGGGGCCAGTGCCACCTGACTTGATCTCCACAGGGCTTCCCAGCATCAGATCCTCCCCTACAAAACTGTCTTGGGCAAAAGCATGCAGCCCTCAGGTCCCCAAAAGTCGGGCATCCCTGGGTTTTGCCCCCTCCCAGCCCAGCCCAGTGAGGGGTGCCAAGGCAAGGGACAGTGGCAGCCACACCCACCCACCTTCACAGTCTCCATGGGGCAGACCACGGCCACAGCTTCAGCCACACCAGCCCCCAGCCCGCAGATGAGGCCCCTCGTGCTGTCCAGCCGCCCCTGCTCGTCTCTCATCTGGTTGCTGAGGAACTCGAACATCCCAAACCTGCAAAGGAGCCACTGTGCCAACCCCTGGGCACCCGGACAGGGGTCTGCACCCCCCTGCTCGGGGTCTGTCTCCAGGAACAGCTGCACACCCTGTGAGAGGACCCTCCCTGCCTGGGAAACCACCTGGCTTTGGTAAAACGCCAATGGAGACACCGCGGGCAAAGCCAGCCCCTCGCGTGCTGCTGTTTGGGGATCCCCCCCGACTCAGCCCTTACCTGACGGCAGCCTTGGGGATGGAGCCGTACAGCAGCGAGCTGAGCCCCCGGTACAGCCCCCGGATGCCATGGTCACGGACAGTCTGCTTCACACAGTCCCCTGCGGCAGAGCACAGCGGTGCCGCTGTCACCCGCCACGCCGAGGACCACCCGCCACCGCCCTGCCAAATCCCCCCAGCACCAGCCAGGCTCCCCCAGAGCCCCAAACCCAGAGAGGGGCTGCTCACCAATGCCCTTGTAGCGGGGAGGGTTTGCCTTCTCATCCAGCTGCAGTTGTGTCTTCACATACTCGGTAGGGAATGTGATGCAGATCTCGATCCCTCCAGCCAGGCCACCTGCACGGCAGAGGAAGGGACACTGAGGCAGGAGCAGCACTGTGCCTGTTCAGTGCCGCATGGCTGCTCCCAGCTCCACGACAGCTGAGCCTGGGACCTCTGGCAGTGAGGTCTGGGCTGGGACACGATATCCCTGTCCTCACCAAAATCCCTGAGGACTCCACACAGCAGCAGGGCCCTGTGCCAACCCGGTGCCTTGCATGGGCACCACTGCGCTGCCATGGCAAAAGCTGTTGAGGAGGCTGGGTAAAGGGGTGGGAAAACAGGGCAAAACAGCACACCCATGGCTGCCTATTTGGTGTGCTGCCCCTCAAAGGCACCTCTCCCCCTCTGCAGCCTCACACCTCCAGGTGAGCTGCCAGCACTGGGATGGATAAGCCCAGTGGTGCTGTGGCAGGCCCAGCACCACTCCCCACCCCAGCAGGAGCCCACCTGCAGGCCTGGCTGTGCCAGCAGGAAGCACAATTATCATCAAGCCTGTCTGGCTGTCCCAGGCTCCTGCAGCAGCGGCTGCTGGGCGCTGATTACACCGGCTGCAGCCTTTCCTGATGGCCTGGGCAGCAAGGGATGCTGTCCCTCAGCATGGCTGGAGCCCTTGCAGCTGGACCCAGCTGTGCTGGGGGAGCTGGGCTCAGCCCATCCGGCCACGATGGATCACAGAGCGCTTCCTCACATCAAAGTGTGGCTGGGTCCTGCCGAGTGGCAGGAGCCCTTTGAACCGGCACCAGGAGGAAGCACAGGGCTGAGCTCCCTCAGGTCTCACAGGGCCATCCCTGCTCAGCCCAGGACGGGGCACTGCCACTGCGGTCAACCTGAGCAGCCCCAAGGATCTCCCTGCTCCTTGCCCAGGGAAGGTGAATCATGCTCCAGCCCACGGGCACAGCGTCAGGTCAGTGGGCTGCCAGCTCCCAGTCTCCTGCACAGCCTCCAGTGGTTCCTCCAGCCTGGCCACGTCCTCCAAGTGACTCAGCAGGTCTGTGGCCCCCACTGCCAGGTTTGCAGCCCCACCACAGCCCAGAGGACACCACAGCAGGGAACACACTGCCTCTGCAGGAGAGGCTGGACTGGGTGCAGTGGTTGTTATCCCGCTCTGCAGTGAAGCACAGGCTGCTGCCACGTGGCACAGCTCTGCTTATCAGCACCCCCCAAAGTACCCCCATGACAGGATTCTGATAGGGGACATCACAACCCATGGCAGCTCCCTGTGACAACAGCAGGCAGCACCAACTCCTTGGACCAGCAGACTTTCTCACAAAATCATTTCTTCTTCATGACCTCCACATATGCAAAAGATCTCTCTGTCGGTGCCACTGGCATCCTCAGGAGCACTGCTGCCTGCACTCAGGCCAGTCCTTCCAGAGGGAAGGGAAAAGCATTCCTTTGTGGCTTTCCTTCCCACATTCCTTCCAGCAGCTGAGCAGCACCCATCTTAAAACAGCCTTATGCTGGTTTTTCCCAACAGGCACAAAAAGCACCAGGCTGCACAGTCTTACCCAGGGAGCCAAGAAGCCAGGCCAGCCTCAACACAGCTGGGGCAAAGATCAGCTTCGTGCTCAAAGAGCATCCCTCTCCTCCCGCAGGCAGGGATGGGGACACCGTGGCACTGAGTGCCCAGGGCAGGACACGCCAGCCCAGCCGGGCAGCTCCCCGGCCCCGTGGGGACGGGGCGTGAGGCCAGCCCAGCTCTGCCACAGCAAACAAAGGCTCCTTGTTTCCCTCCGTGTTCCCAGGGGGGCTGGAGCTGCTCAGCCCAGCCCAGCCCAGCCCAGGCAGGCTTTTCTCGGGAGGCGGCGATCGGTGACCATTGCCAGCCCTGAGGCCCCCGCGGCACTCGGTGCTCTGCGGGCATGGCAGGAATACACGGGGCCAGCTCACGGCACTGCAGCCAGCCAACAGCTCCCCAGGGGGACAGCCAGCACCCCCAGGGTCCCCAGAGCACCCCTGCTGCCCCCTCAACCCTCTCCCGCCCTTGCTGTCCCTCAGAGTGGCAAACACTGCCGGTCCCATGGCAGGGGGGCTGGCCAAACACTAATTTCTCCTGCAAAGACAAACATCTCCTGCAAGAGCAGCTGGCAGGCCCCAGAGAGCAGCTCGATGAGGAGCAGTGGCCTCCAGCTGGGTCCAACAGTCCCCAAAAAGCTGAGCACCAGCTGGCACCTCTCCACACCGCCACACACCACCGTGCCACCAGCCTCACGCCACCACAGCCACACAACACCACAGGTGCTGCCAAGGCCATTCCCTCCCTCCTACATTGCAGAACTGAAGTGCTGGACAATTTAATCACCATAAATATTTGTTCTCTCTCGGTCCCCCAGCACCAGCTCCAGCACATCCAGGAGCCAGACAGCAGGGAAACACCCAGGACGAGCAGCAGTCCAGGGGCAACCACACCAAATGCTACAGGGAGAGATGCTGAGCCTCCTGCCACCTGCTCTCAGCCTCAGCAGGCACATTTGCATGCAGGGGAGGCAGAGGCTCTGCCCAGCATCCCACGGGCAAAGCCCAGGAGCCCAGCAAAGGAACTGCATGCTGCTCCTGGGAACTGGCAGCTTCTGGGGCAATGAGATTGCCCTAGCCAAGGATGAAGGAACAGAGCACCCATGCTGCCAGGTCCCCTCCCTGTTCCCCAGTGTTGTTCTGGCCTCAAATCCCATGGGAAGGTGCGCAGAGCAGGGACCCTGGACCTACTCCATGACTTGTGGCAATTTTAATTAATTTTTTTTTGCCCACAGGGTGGCATAGGCCACCTGCCCTGCAGCCCCCTGGAAGCAAGACCCACCAGAGGTCCTGCTCTGCTGTCATCTCCTCTCCCCACACAGTTTTACCCCAGCAGAAACCTCATTCTATGCAAATAAATCACTCCACTGCCCTGAACAGCAGCTTTGTCCAATCCCCTCCTTCTCCAGGGCTGCAGGGACTTTGCAACCTGTTTACCCCGACTTTAAACAGCAGCTCCAGCTCTTGCAACAGCGCGGAGTCAGCAGGAGCAGCAGCGCTCAGGAGGTGAAAGAGCACGCAGGGCAGCTGGGATGCCGGGCCAAGGCTCTGGCTGTTCGCTGGATGCAGCAGAGCCAGAGGAGAGGGAACGTCCTTCAGGGAAGGTCACTGTGCCCGGCCCCAGGGAAGGTGCCCCCGGCGGGGGGATCCCACTCCCAGCACCAGGAATGGCTCCCTGCCCGCAGCAAGCCTGCAAGCGCTTCTGCTGCCAGCTATCCTGACATCGCAGGCTCAGCGGGAAGGGAGAGAAGGCAAAAATACTCTGGCATAGTTTTCCCAGAGAAAGTTTAGCTTCCCCCAGCAGAGAGGCCCGAGGAGGCCGTCCTTTGAGGACATGCCTGCAGCCCTTGGGCACGGCTGCGGAGAGCTAGCAGGAGAGAGAAAAGGGGGTTTTGGATACAGTGCGAGGGTGCTGCCCCTGCAATGCTCACACAACGTGTGATGGCATCAGCACATGCAGGTTCAGCTTCACACACCGTCCGTGAGCAGCTCCTGGGACACCACTGACCACCCTGACCCCGGGACCCCAGCTCCAGACCCAGGGCAGCGCTGGAGATGGGAGGACGCAGCTGCAGTGGGGAAGACAAGCAGAGCCCCAGGACCGACACAAACCAAGGCTGTGCAGCCAGGACTGGCCTCACCCTCTGCAAACTCCTACCCAGAGGCAAGTGAACACCCACTGTCTGGGAGCCACAGAGTGGCACTGGACCCTCTGCCACTCCCACAAGTGGCTGTGCCTGCTACAGCATCCTGCTCCTGCAGAGTGATGGAGCAGCAGGTCTCTGTGCTGCTCTGATGAGAAGTGAGCACCTGGGGAGCAATTTCAGTCTCTCCATTCTAAGAGTAATTTCACAAGCTGACATACCAGCACCTGATTTCCATATAAAAAGCACCCTTTAACTTCAGATTCGTTAGGATCCTTTCAGGCCAGAGGGAATTATTCCTAAGAATCTAGAAGCAAAGCAGCAGAGCTCTCCCAGGGCCCATGCCCCATCAGCCAGGTGGCTCAGGATGGTGGGAAGGCACAAACAGGCTCTCAGTGGAAGCTGAGCCCTGAGTTCCCCATTTTGGGGGCTCCCAGCCCATGTGCAGAAGGTGATGAGCTATGCAGCTGACATGGAGCACACACTATGGGCACAGGGTGCAATCCTACCCAGCTCCTGGATGCTGTGCTTACAGTATGCAGCATTCTTACAAGGGTGCTTGGTCCCCTTTCTCATTAGCCAACATGGCTTTTGGAGCTGGGGAGATAAGGAAAAAAAAATCCCAAGAACAAAGACCATCAGGCTGCTACAAACCAGGAAGGCAGAAACACCCACCAGCAGCCCGTGACAGGTCTTTGCAGCCCAGACTGCTCCCCACAAGGAGGGACAAACCCCCCTGGCAGCCGTCCAGGCTGCTCTTCACCCATCATCCATCGCCGTGGAGCAATCCTGCCCTGCCTGCAGTAGTGAAACGGGTTTTACAGCTCCACCCTCCCCGCACTTCCCACCACGGGCTAGCTTGTGAAACTCGGGGCTCAGGAGCGGGCAGGAGGCTTGCTGGGGCTGCAGCTCTCCAGGACAGCTGGCTCTCGGCAGAGCTCCAGCACTGCTGTCCTCACCCGGACACCTCCTCCGGCCACGGACAGGCTTCACCACCATCCGCAGCCACATCCTTGTGGAAAACCACCGCGGGGGCAGCTCTGCCACCAAAAGTCTGACTCAGTGCTGAGATGGGCAAGGCTGCTTTCCCAAACCAGACTGCCCGAAGTTTACCTGTGTTTTGGTTAAAAGGGAAGAAAACATGTCATGCAACAAATCAGCAGGCTCAGAGAGTGTCTGTCTGCATGTGGGGTTAGGAAGGTCTCCCACTGGATAGGGGCAAGGCCAGTGGGGAAGCACAGGGGTTCAGCATGTCCAGCAGTAAATACACACAGCTGGTTTGGTCATGGGAGCGTGCTACAGGCAGGCTGGTGACAGTCTGACCCCACCAGGGA